TGTGAACATGCATAAATAAGATTTTCACCTTACACTTCACCTTTACCTTCCATGTTAGTATTTGATAGTGATCCTCTTGTGTCCTATACCCAGAGCATATCTACCTCTGTTTCATGTGCCTGCAGCCTCTACTACTAGCATCCCTCTTGACACAGGTCATGAAATGTGTAACCAAAGAAATGTCCCTCCTGTATGTTAAAAGTGTTTATGCAGGCAACTCCAAATTTTCATGATCACATACTCATGAGTCATTTACACGCACATTAAGAGAAAGAAACTGAGCAAGACATTGAACTTACCTCCCTGAAAAGGGAAACTGAATCACTATTATGCTGCAATTCCTTTCCCTGTAACTGCTCTTTTATATCACTGTAGCAATGGAAATCCGTAACCTATGTTGTTTACCTTCAGGTTTGGAGATTACCCAAATGTTAAAAGTATCTATTATAAGGCAGACTCCATTTATGCTAGTTACCCCTATCTTAAATTTTAACCACGTTTAAAGGACAATATAAGAAATGGTAAGAGGACTAGAAGGGTAAGGAATAAAGGAAAGAAGGATAATATGGAAAAAGATCATGTTAAAGGGTTTGTATTTTCAAGAGGTCTTAAGACAGTATCTTCCTCACACACTATAATTGCATTCATAGACTTCTAGTAGAATTTCTCTTTTTTCCTTTTTTTTTTTTTTTTTTTTTAAAAACTGCAGTGAGGCAAGGGAGCCCCCAGTGCCTTGATTCATACCTGTGTAGGAAAGAGCAGCAGCTACTGGAAGCATGAGGAAATGATGTAGAAAATGCCTCCAGATAAATAGAGGGGATACATGGAAGGAGACATCATTGAGGACACAGCTGGAGCTGCATTGCTGAAAAGAGGCACTCAATGCAAGAGGAGGTACCGCTAAAGGACTGTGGACTGCAGACTGCAGGTGACCTACATCAGAGATGCTGCCAAGGGGCTACAGACATGAGTGATCCATGCATAGAAATGGGGAAGAAGCAAGAACCAGCAGAAAGAAAACATTTATAACTGACCCCATGTGGCGGTGTGCTCCCCCCTCGTCTCTGACTATTAAGTGCCCAGTGGAAATGATCTTCAGAAAAAGTTTTTTGGGATTTTTTCCTAACCTTGATAAGAACAGAATTATGATGATGTTGATTATAATAATAGTAACAGTAAGAATATCCTCTTTTCTCTAAATACTCTACTTCACTGTAAAAATCCTGTGTTTAATGTTCCTGAGACTCTTCTTGGTTTCTTACAGATTTTAAAAAAAAACATACAGCCTTCTGAAAACTTGATGTAAGGTTAGAAGCATGTCATGGTTTAGCTGAAACTGGCAACAAAGCACCACACAGCTGCTCACTCACCGCCCTGCCCACCCCCCACCCCCAAGCAGTGGGATGGGTGAGAGAATTGGAAGAGCAAAAGTAAGAAAGCTCATGGACTGAGATAATAACAGTTTAGTAATTTGTAAATAATAACAATATTAACAATAATGACTATTATTATTGTTAATAATAATAATAATAATAATAATGAAAAAGAAAACAACAAGGAAGAAACAGAGACACAAAACCCAGGAAAAACAAGTGATGCAACCACCCACCTCCTGCTGACAATTGCCCAGCTGGCCCCAAGCAGTGATCACCGCCCCTCGCCCGACTCCCCCCAGTTTATATATTGAGCGTGATGTCATATGGTCTGGAATACCCCTTTGACCAGTTTGGGTCAGCTGTCCCAGCTGTGCCCCCTCCCACCTTCCTGTACACCTGACAGAGCATGGGAAGTTGAAAAGGCCTTGACTTAGTGTAAGCACTACTTAGCAACAACTAAAACATCCTTCTCATCCTAAATCCAAAATATAGCACTATGCTGGCTACTAGGAAGAAAATTAACTCTATCCCAGCTGAAACCAGGACAAAGTGGAAGGTTCTTACTATCCATCAATGGACTTGATGTCTGGTGCAGTAAGTCAAAGAATCAGAGAATGGTTGAGGTTGGAAAAGACATCTGCAGACTGTCTAGTCCAACCTCCCTGCTCAAAGAAAGATCAGCTAGTGTAGGTTGTCCAAGAAAATGTCTGGTCAGGTTTTGAATATCTCAAGGGTGGAGACTTCACAACCTCACTGGACAACCTATTCCAAAGTTTGACAACCCTCACAATAAAAATTTGGCTTTTTTATTCTTATGCTTAAATGGAATTTTCCACATTTTAATTTCTGTCTGTTGCCTCTTGTCTTTTTATTGCATCACACAGAGTACAGTCTGGCTCCAAATTCTTTACCGCCCTCCTCCCCCTCCAAATCAGGAATTTAGACACATCGATATGATCCCCCTGAACCTTCTCTTCTCCAGGCTGAACAGTTCCAGCTCTCTCAGCCTCTTTGCATTTGAGACATGCCCCAGTGACTTAAACATCTTAGTGGCCCTTTGCTGGACTCTCTCCAGTAAGTCCATGTCTCTTGTACTGGGGTGCTCAGAGATGGATGCAACACTTTAGTTGTGGCCTCACCCACAGTGAGGGGAAGGATCACCTCCCTCGACCTGCTGGCAATACTTTTCGTAATGCAGGTCAGGATACCCTTAGCCTTCTATGCCACAAGGGCACACTGTTGTCTCCTGTTTAACTTGGTGTCTGCCAGTGCCCCTAGTTCTTCCTCTGCAAAGTTGTTCTTCAGATGATCAGCAACAAGCATTTACTGGTACATGAGGTTGTTTCTCCACAGGAATTTCCCTGTGGAAATGCACATTTCATGTTGCTGAACTTCATTAGATTCATCTCTGCTCAAGCCTCCAGCCTGTCTGTCTGAACGGCAGCACACCCCTTGGGGGGAT